GCCTGACACATTTTAAAATTGCTAATTATCTGCTCGTTGATACTAAATAAATACAATAATCGATTGGTGATACATACCTTTSATTTCAGTGTTGCGTCTTTGAGTTATGAAGGCTCAATTTTTCAATATATTAATGACAATGGCGTCAAGGAAGGCTTCCTTAGATATTCGAACTTTGAAGGAGTCACTTTTTAAATAATGGTTTCATGACATTTTACGGGTAAAAAATTATCGTATAGGCAATGTATTACCAGATAGCGTTCATGAATTCTTTTCTTCGATCGAGAATCACTTGGTGTGAGGCGTCTTACGTACTTTTACGATTTTTTGATATTCTGTGCCTGGCATTTCCTAGCTCCATTTTAAGCTTGAAAGAAAAAAGTTAAATGCTTCGAAATCGTAGTAACACTAAACGAAATTAAAAATGTTTCAGTAAAACAATGTAATGCAAATCATTGATATACATTCTTCCATAACTTTGCTGGCATAGTGTTTTAATCAAGGCTTCCATATTTTCCAGTTATGTCTATTTCAGCCGGCATCATCTTCCATGCAAAAGTGTATCAATGTGGTATATGGGGTCAGGGATCAGAATTCGTCAATTATTTGGAATCGGTGATCCGAGTTTTAGATTTTGAATTGGGATCAATATCTGGGAAAATAGATCACAAAAGTTATTCACGAATGAACAATGGTCCGGATCAAAATTGTCCTTATTTTGGGATAAGGGTTCGGACTTTCAGCCCTCTACAACAAAAGTACCTCCGGATTTTGCTGTCAAAAAATTGCGAGAATTCAATGACAATGCTCGGCTCTTTTTAGGTTTGACTTTAGAAGTCGATATCCAGCAGCATGAGTATATCAATAAACTGACCCAAGAAGCTGGTGCTGTATTRCACATATCACCACGTGGTGACATGCCTTTTCCATACGAAGAAGGAATCGATCTTGCACCTGGTTTTTCCACATCATTAGGGATGCGATTGGTAAGGAGAACTTTTAACAAACTATATATGATTGCCTTTTTTGTGCATTTAAAGGACTATAAAAAAATGCAATTATTTATTGTAGCAAGATGCTTAAAACCCTAGACCCCCTAGTAAATGCTGCTCTTTCATAGAATGCATATGAACACGCTTTCACGCAACATTGAAAAGGCAGGCGGAGGGAGAACACATGCATACATAGTTCTATATTTCTTCCTATATTTCGTTCTCCGCTATAGTTTAACAGATATAAACTCAAATCAATTATTACTTGCCAAATTCATTTTATTTTTAATGTTTTTTTTTCACGTTAGATTCGAATTAAAAGAAAAGACAGGTTTGGGAACGAGTCTTGTATTGCAACAAACAAGGACAGCAATGTAAACTTGTACGCCAGAAAATTCAACACTTCTTACTCGACGATGGTAAGGAGGATTTTTAGGAAAAAAAAACCCTGATAAACGTAAAATCGCCCCATGACACGGAATCCGGAATCCGGAATGCTCCAAATTCTGTGTGTTTCATGGGGCGAAACAAAAATACCCTGATTACATGTACATACATCCAGACCATTGTTACCTCCACTCGACAGCGAACAGAAGTAATGTGCATAATGCTGTTTTTGTCTGATATCAGGCATGCATCCAGTCATGTATAGCTTCCAGTCAAAAGTCAGTGTGTGGATGTATGGARTACAAGTACTATCCTAAGGACAAGATTGTATGTGACGCATTCAACACTTCAACAGGTATTGCAGGAACTACTCTAGAAGGAGAGGTGAAGAGGAGGGGAGAATTGTTGTTAAKAAGATATCCGAAGGATGTTTTTCAAGGGAGGGGTTGCAGGGCTTCTGGAAACCCCCTTTCTTAGCAGGCAAAGTCTTTGAAAGGGGACTTWTTTGCCAARTCAATAGTGTATAACGCAAGCTRGAATCACCCCTTACATTCACGATATTTTAAATACTTTCAAAAATCTATGAGTGTCACGGTAGCTGATCTGACACAATCGTACAACTTACACTGTTTTGTTTCAGCTAAAATTTTGATGTATTCCAATTACTTTGGATTTTTCCAATGTATTTTCAGTATTTATCAGTACAATTACCCAAGTAGATGATGTGTGCAAATATCTTGACGAAATGTCTTTTTAATAACCCATGTTCGTTTTTCTGGTTGAAAATTGGTCATRCAAAAAAGAATGGAAGACRAAGCTTCAGTAGAAAGCAAAAGAATTATTTATTGTCCACTGAGTCTCGCCTTCAATTCCTTTTTGCATGGCTATCATCAACCGAAATATTGAATATTGAAATAGTGAAGGTACATTGGATAAGCTTTTCGGATTTGATATTATAGTCTCAAATGAGTGAATTTCATTTTAATTAAAATTCTTAGTTAATAAATCTGGTTTCCCCAGTTAAATGCTTAAGAAAAGTGAATCGACTAGCCAAGGACAATAAATTGAATTGTTCAAAGAGTTGTCCACCWCCTTGCACGTGAGTACAATCACAGTTCTATATTTCTAACTGCGCTTCAATAAAAATTTGAGTACACCTATCAGCCTTATYGCTGAGGAGCTAAACCAAAAGCTTCATATTTCAAAGCTACATTTTTTATCAGATTACATTCATTGCCAAWCTGAACTCACCCAAGCTSTTAGGGGCAAGAAATATGAGCAAGAGGTGCAAAACCAAACACGTAGCCAGTCGTTACTCTTCTTTTTTCCTCTAGTGCGCGCAAAGGATCAAGGTTTCGGAGTTCCCTTGATGCAACGCGAACCATAAAAAGATAGCAAAGAAACGACTGGGTATGAGTCTGAAGCAAAACCTCTCAATTTGTATCGCAATGTCAAAAACGCTGCCTACGAACACAATGTGATATATTGTCCGGTGTTGAAATTAAACCGAGGCCTGTCAAGCTCTCCAGTAACCATCAACATTTGGCAATATCATGAGGAAGMGCGACTTATATAAGAATTTTTAGCTCCTTCTAAATCTGTTGCTTTGACAGACAAAATGTGTATCAAGCGACGTCTTCCTTCTCTTCGTGGCCTTCGGAAAATTATCAGGTAACATCACTTTTAAGTCAGTCTGTTTCTTGAAGTATTTTTCAAGTTTTTCCAAAAATTTTTGAAACTTCAAATTTCTCGGAAATGTTAGGGATGTAACAGTCCATACGGAACTCGTGGATCGGACACCAGTAGCTGTAGTGTAGACGCCAGGAGACAAGGGACAAATATGGATTTCCTAGACAGTCCCTAAGGTGTTTTGGGACAGAGGGTAGAAAGGAKACATGTCTTATTGCAGCTTCAACTGCCCTTSAGACTGTCCCATGAGGACAGGGGATACAATAGGGCAGTCATGGACATCCGTGGGTGAATCGGCATTCCATATAATATGGATTTTTGCCATATATTGAAAATTAGGTGACTTCAAGTTGATTTTCAATCCGTCAGATTCGATATAGAATCTTACTTTACGTCAATTCAGAGAGCTTGATAATAAGGAGTACGTTTTTGCTTTTATTAAGCTGTGTTTTTACTTTCTGATACAAACTAAAACTCTTTAATGCTATTTTTGAAACATCATCTTCATTTAGAATATCTCTATTTCTATTCTTTTCCTTTTTCAATGAGTTGATTTTTTATCGTCCTTAGAGTGAAGTCGTGGCATTGATTTCTTTGCGTCTACTTGACTATTACTACACAATGATGAAATCTTGTTTCGCGTGTTTATGATCCACTCCCCTCACTCCAACTTGTTATATAGAGAATACTATATGGGCGCGCGGAGATACGGATTTTATCTTCTCGTGTTGAAAAGATCTCTGAGAGATTTTCAACACGAGAAGATTAAATTCGTATCTCCAAACGAACATGTAATATTCTATTTATCATGTTATTGTATACGACAGCAAATTTTGTCGTAAAATAGCTTTTTTTTCTTACTTCCACTATACAGAGAAACCGTGAATGTGCTATTTTCACTAGTGAAACATGTTATTTTCACTAGTGAAAATATCAAGTTTACGAAATGGAGAAATATAGGAATTTCATAGATAATTTTATTACAAATAAAGTTATTCAATTATGAAATATATTGTACCCTCCTAATGCCTGATAATTGACTGACGTATGCCCGTTCTGTATGTTTGTTAAATAGGAAGAATTTGCTGAAGAAAGGAATGTATCAACTAAAGAGTTAAGGCGAGTGAAGCTTATACTAACTTATATTCATGATAATTCAAAAAGCAATGTACAGCCATCTTCTAGAGAGAAGCATTAATGTAAAATTAGTCCTCKCGCGTTTTAATAATCCCGTCAATCCGATTTAGAGTTTTCTTGGTACTGCTATTTCTTCARAGGAAACAGAAAACTAATTTTGAGGATTATTTCGGCTGCATTTCTTATCGTGCTTTGYTCTAATAATAGGCATCCCTGTGCAATGTTTCTTAGAAATGTCAAAATCACAGAACATGAAAACCGAGACGCAGAGGACGCATTACTGTGATATGATATGTAAATGAGCCCCCTTAAGCGTAATTGATATGTATATGAGGGGTTGCAACTTAAAAAGGGTCTTAAAGACTGAGACCCCTTTGATGACGCAACAGTTCTATATGCAGACCAAAGTAAAAGATTTATGAATAAGACCCCTTTTCAGCTGAAACCTCTCATATATATATATATATATATATAGTAGGCAACTCATTAATCCAGCCATAGCTAGTAACTATGATCCAGGCATGAACAGGACAGCGAAGAGTGGCCGCATTAACGAGTTAACTTGTCAGATGATTTGCCGGAATTTAAAAATCTGGACTCAATCAAGCTGGCCGTGTTAAGTGGGCGGTCGGTGTAAGGGAGCRTTCCAACGTACAATCCTGGACATAAGTACTTGACAATTTCTCGCTTGGGCATTACAAATACTGTATCGTGTACATCGACTGAAAATATTCCCTTTCCCTACCCTCCCCCCCATATCAATGTTGCATGCAGGGGTTAATGAATGGACAGCGGGTGGGGACACGGGGAAGGTTTTATCGACGAATAGTGTGTTTACGTAAATATTGTCAACACTTATGTCCAAATTGTAGCTTCATTATGCACCTATTTCAAAAAACGTTGTCGTCGCCAGCAGGACACAGTCTTGAGCTTGCAAAGAATCTCGGGATTGCCTTATATAATTATATATAATTTGCAGGCTCAAGAATGTGGACTGTGTCCTGGTGACGACAATGTCTTTTGAAATAGGTGTATTTTTGCATTTTCAAACTAACATAATGAACGTTTTTGGTTACCTTACATGCCCACGTGCATCCAAGAATTTTGTGCGACTTTCTTACCTACGAAAAATGGCATATTTGATTTTGAACCAATCACAAAGCACCTTTCAACAAAGATTATTTGTAAGCCAAAAGAAAAGATCGCAAAGATTCACGGATGGACTCGGTCCTTTAAATCACCTCGGTAGCTTCCATATATGAGGGTCTCAATGGAGTTAACCGTGAGCCGTGAAACGGCTGAAAAATTAGCCGTTAGTCGTGAAAATGCGAAAAAAAGAGCCGTGAGGCGTGAATATTTTTTTATAGCGTGAGCCGGGATTCAGTTTTGTCCCTCAGAAGGACAGTCAACTTCTTTAGAACGCGCGGAGACCAAAAAGTCGCTTGGAAGCCTTTTCGAACAAATACTCGCAATGGGTGTTATTGAATCGACATCTTTTTTTAGATTGCTAATAAAGTTATAAAATATTTTTTAATTCTTAGATAGTATTTTTGGGATTTGTTTTTTACATTTTAAAACTCCCGCTCATTTAGTGCATTGAAGACCTTAATTGAGCGGGAGCCTTCATCACGCTAAGTGCGACAAGAAGAGTAAAGCTGCTCGAAATAGAACGTTATAATATAAATCGACATCTTTTTTTAGATTGCTAATAAAGATATAAAAGATTTTTTTTGCCAAAACAAAACTAGCACTCATTTAGTATGTTAGTACATCGAAGACTTTGAGCGGGAGCCGATCATATATCCACTTCGTAAAAAAAAGACGGTTCTCGGGAAAGTGAAACACAAGAGATGACAATAATTATGCAAAAATAAATAAATAAATAAAAAAAGATAAACAATAAATAAAATAAAAAGGAAAAAACAAAATCATTAAACGTCTCCTCCAGGGAATCGATCCCGCTACCGTCAAACCTACATTGGATTTGCAAGCGGCGCCTTAACGCGGTGCGCCACTGGATCACTCTCATTTACATAATAATAGACCATTTGACACTTTCACCGAATAGACTACCCCAATTTGACATTATACTTTCGATAGTTGCCTAGTTAGTGCAAGGGGTTATCCATCAGTGTCTAGGGGCCGGATAGCTTCTCCCTCACTGGCTTTTTAGTTAGCGCGAAGTTAGGACCAATTATCGGGATAGCATGGAAGAGCCGAAATCTCTAACCGGAATGTAAATCGATTCGCCGCCTCAGCTTCACAGAATGTCTCGGGGGAATCGTCCCAACCTTTTTTCGATTTTATGACCATGGGTTCGAATCCCAATACTCAAGTTTTTTCTTTTTTCATATTTTTTGTTTTTGTTTTTTGTTTTGCTTTTTGTTGTCGTCTTTGAATTAGCTTCCTATACATTAATGTTTAATTACAAAATCTGCAGAATCATTCAGTTATTGCTTCTATATATTTTCTATAATGTGATATTTTAAAGCGCGCTTTCATTGGCTTGTTTTCATTAAACGTATAATAGNGAGTCAAATAATAATATGAATACGCTACAAACTTCCTGATTTTACCATGCACATTTAGCCCGGCATATAATACATCATCGCGAAAAGCGACACTTGATGAAATTTCGTAAACTCCGATGTCAGACACGGACTGCAGCAATGTTACTACTATGTTCTCAATACCTGCTATGTTTAACACTTTTTGGATTTTTTTTGTGTATCATGAATTTATGATTAATCATTTTTTCGTGGAAATAGTCGCATTTCGGCTTATTTGAAATAGAAAAATCCATGTCCGTACGAATAGGTCACGCAGTCTATTCATACGAMAAAAGAAAAAGCAATGAAAAACGTAATTCAAAAATTTMTAAAAGTAATCTAGTTAACCGTGATTCGAAAAAATTAGTCGTRAGTCGTGAAATCGCCAAATTTCTAGCCGTGAGTCGTGATGCGTACCAWCCCATTTAGACCCTCTAACACGTTTGTTGGATGGGAATTTTGTTTTTCAAAAGATACTGGTGACATCACGCGCCCACCAGGAATATAACAATAATTGTTTCATAGTTCGATGAAAACCACTGAATGGAGAAAAGATGAACAGAATTGTACACAATATATTCAGTGCTTGGTTGTTTGTTCTGATTGATGAGTCTAGTCCATTCCAGTCCAGTACCTGAATGCCTGAATTTTATTTTATTATGACCCCATGTTGGGGATGAATATATACACTATCTAAGCTTATCTAGTATTCGCAGTATTCGCTTAGTATTCGCAGTATTCGCTTAGTATTCGCTTAGTATTCGCTTAGCATTCGCGGTATTCTCTTAGTATTCGCAGTATTCGTTTAGTATTCGCGGTATTCGCTTAGTATTCGCTTAGTATTCGCTTAGTATTCGCTTAGTATATTCGCGGTATTCGCTTAGTATTCGCAGTATTCGCTTAGTATTCGCTTAGTATTCGCTTAGTATTCGCTTAGCATTCGCGGTATTCGCTTAGTATTCGCAGTATTCGTTTAGTATTCGCGGTATTCGTTTAGTATTCGCTTAGTATTCGCAGTATTCGCGGTATTCGCTTAGTATTCGCGGTATTCGTTTAGTATTCGCTTAGTATTCGCAGTATTCGTTTAGTATTCGCTTAGTATTCGCAGTATTCGTTTAGTATTCGCAGTATTCGCTTAGTATTCGCGGTATTCGTTTAGTATTCGCGGCATTCGCACTATTCGGTCACTATTCGGGTTTTATCCTTACCCACAATGTACTACTGCTACTTATTAACTAACAAGTAATAAGTGTTGATGATAAACACCACGACTGACCAAAAATCTTATAGTACATTTTTGTTGTCTGTGTACTTCACAAGTTTATTGTTTGCACTATAGTAAAAAGAGTGACCGACATCGATTAAACAGAAGTCACTGTCTAAGTGGCAACAGGGAATTAATGTTCTAGCCGTCAATGAATGATTGACAGCAGTCACTGTCTAAGTGGCAACAGGGAATTAATGTTCTAGCCGTCACTGCATGATTGACAGCAGTCACTGTCTCAGTGGCAACATGGAGTCAAGTCTTTCGTAATCATTTTCCATGACCGACAAGACAATGCCTGCCATACAAGAAACACATCACCGATGTCTTCAACTGTTT